GAACAGGAGTGAAAGGAAATTTCTGATTGGAGATTGGGTGTACCTGAAATTACACCCTTATGCTCAACAAACTGTGGCCAGGAGATCCAACAAGAAGCTTTCTGCGAAATACTATGGACCTTAAAAAGTGATTCAAAGAATTGGGAATGTGGCCTACAAATTGGATTTACCATCTACAACCCAGATTTATCTGGTGTTTCATGTATCTTTACTTAAGAAAAGAATTGGAAAGAAGGAAGCTGCATCTGTAACATTACCAGATTTTCAACCTTGGGGACAAGGTCCTTTGAAGGGAGAGGGATGTTATGAGGAAGGCTGGAAGGATCAGCTGAATTGGGAAATGAAAGGATAGAGAAGCGCCAAAACTAGGAAGAGAAAGGAAGAAGATAGGCAACGACTAGCTGAAATAATTTAAACTCTACACGGCGTCATTTTATGTTAAGATTTAATTGTAATAGAATAAGTGCATTTTGTAAAAAACGTGTTTCCAAAACTTAATTTCTATTCAGTTAAAACGATAGGGGAAGGAGGGAAATGGTGTGAAGAATCTTTTGGATAATTCGTTCCTGAACTCTCTCTCTCTCTCTCTCTCTCTCCCTCCCTCTCTCTCTCCTTTTCTTTTTCTGTTTTTCTATTCTTACTCTTGTATTTCCAGTTAAACTTTCAATTGAAGGATTGGGTGTTGAGAATTTCAATTGAATTCTGCTTGTGTTGTTGAAATTTACTGAGTTGTAGTTGAGGATTTAGCTCAACCATTACAATGTTAAAGATGTGTTTGAGATTTTCGCTTTTCAGTTATTAAAGATGATAGTACACCTTTTTGTTTGGAATCGTCGGTGTCGCCGTAATTGAATTTGAGCAGAATTTGATAGTAATGGAATTGTCGGCATCACCTTGATAAAAGGTTCAGATTGGGCAGAATTTAGGTGTCTAATTTGGTAATGGAAGAAATGGAAAAAGGAGCTAAAGTTTAGTTGTACTGGATGCTCTATTGTGTGGGAAGGAGTGGTGTAGCCGGTGGCTTACGGTGATGACGTCGATCTGTTGTTGTGGTGATGGTGGTTGTTTTTTAGGGGTAAGGGTAGGTGGGTGGGGATGGGAAATGGGGTGAGGTAAGGTTTGGGAAGGAGATGGATCTTCTCCTTTCAGATTTTTTCTTTTTTTTTTTTTAATGTATGAAACGTATTTCACTTAAAAAAAATCCAAGTGTGTAGCACTTATTTGACTTGGCACGCATTAATTGTCACATCAAAGCTACATATGCAGCCATGTTAGCATTCCGTCAATTTTGGATGGACCGTTAGGTTAGTGACGAACAGGATTACAAAATGCAAAATTTAATGATCATTTGGGCTATTATCCCTAGTTTATGAACATACTCTTGAGCGAACTCTATGCACTAAATTTTTCTTTCAATTCCCCAGAATCGATGAAGATATAAACAGCCTTTAAATTTTTCTCTAACCTAAGTCAACTACTACAACAGGGGTTAGGACTGTAATTTCCAAACTTGTTTATTTTTAATTTTTATAGGGAAATAATAATTTTAATGGAAAACAAGCAAAACACTGAGGAAATTTTAACGTGATTCTTTTTATATTAATAATAATCTTAAGTCACAATCTACTATAGCCAAGGGAAGAAACAAATTTCTTTGAAAATACTGAGGTGTTGGGGAGTGGTGTTAGAACAAGGGGGGATTTCTTTGAAAATACTTATCAGCAGCATAAATTGTGTAATTTGACATGGTTTTCTTATAAAAATTATTGTAGACTAAATATTCCTTTTTAGGTGGTTTAACAGTTGCTGTTTAGGTGGTAATATTCTATACATGTTGTTATCACTGTTCTCATTTTTCTTTGGTTTTTGCTAGCTTGTACCTTTGTATTGGAGCATACCAGGTCTGCATCCTTATCCTTAAATCTGTCAATTTATTTTCGAATATTTTGTGGGCCATGTGATGTAAATCTGCACATTCTCTTGTTTCAAAGATGTTTTATGTGTAGAAATTATTTTTCTATCTTTGAATTATATACATATTGGAAATCCAGGCTTCTTGTGCTTCAGCTCAAGTGTCCTGCAATGTCTGCTGAGTTGTTTCTTTTGTCTGAGTAAAGTACCCATATCTGTATGTTTTGACATGACAGTGGTTCCTTCGTCTAAGTTAAACTCTCTGCTACTAGAGGTGTCAATATACGTTGTGCAGCCAAGCCTCGCATGGTCGTGCCATGGGCGGCTGTAGGGACCTGTGGCCTGTGTGGGCAGTCTCTCTCGAGCCTGTATCTAAAGAAACTTTAGCAAGTAAAAGTGAAAGTTGTAGAGCCAGAACTGGTTTATACCTCTTTCTTTGACAAAATTTTCTTATTTTTAAATCCTTAATAAAATTGCAGCCTAATTTTTTTAGGAGTAGTTAATATCATGTTTGATCTAATATAACTGCAAAACCATCCCTAGATCTTGTAAATTGAGACACTAAAGAAGAGGGGAAGAGGTTGAAGTTTAGGATCTGGTTCCATTAGATCTGGTAGTTATGAACCGAATGGAATGGAGAAAAAATTTATGTGGTCGATCTTAAATTTATTGTGAATGGGGCTAAATTTTTAGTAGTTTTCTACTTTTGCACCTTATAGGGCTTTCAAGATTTATGTGATTTGAAGTTTGAGAGGGAGAGTAACATGGGATACATATGTAGTCACCATCAAAAAAGGGAAATAAAGTTGATTATGTAGTTTTCTGCTCAATATTGATGAGAATTGAGGGGCCACTTTGTCCCTTTGATTAGTCAATTCTTAGCCAATTTTATTTATTGAACATGGGAATGTCTCAAGACCATAGCCCTTTAGTATGAGAAAAATCAATGAATTAGGCTATGTTAGTTCAAGTTTAGCTAATTTTCTCTAGAAATATGGATATTAGAAGAAAGGGAGGAGCCCGAAACCCAACAAAAAAAATTGAAAAAATTTTTTTAGGTTTACGTTCAAAATATTTTATTGTGTGAAGATATGATTGAAAGGAATACGAGAAATAAATTGTTTTATTTTAAAGAGAGTGAAACGGGAGTTAAGTATTTGGCCCTATAGTTATTTCTTTTTGTTAATACCGTTGAATATTGTACAGTCGAAACGAATTTTTAGAACAAGCTCAAATGGGTTGCAGCTATTAATATCACTTTCTTTGATGGATATGTGTATGGCTGTGAAGATTGTGGGGATGGTGTGTACTATCGAGGACTTAAGGTATATTTGTTTACGAACCAAAAGGAGGAGACAAAATTCATATTGATGCTAAATCTTTGGTTTACTTTGATGGTTTTCTCAGCCTTAGAACATGCATATACAACTTGTTGAATGGACCTCGGCTATCAATTGAAGTAATGGAGTTAGACGAGTGAGCCATTAGGATGATGCCATGTATCAAGCATCCAATTGACATCAAAGGTAATGAAAAATGGACTGAAATATTACACTCAATTTTGATAATTTTCTCTTCAATCTGGCACCTGCATTTTCATTATTGTCTCTTCCACTATAAAAATACTTTCAACATTCTGATTTGAGCGTCGGAGTGTTCGCAACCATCACATCCCGTTGGAGCTACAGTCACGCATACTCTAATACTTGTGTCCAAATGTGTAGGTAACATACATGTGGACAAAAGAGAAGTCGGAATTTTTTGACAGTTAGATCCCCAACAAATTTGAAGGTCAACAAATTAACGCCGTCTATGAGAAGCTATACGTTGACCACGGGTCAATCACATTGAGTTTTTTTTAAAATTAAAATTGGTTAGTTGAAAAGATATAGAGTTTTTGAATTGAGACAGAATGTTGGAAATGGAAACAGGTACAGTTGAAAACATAATGTTGGAAATTTGAATTGATTTCAATTCATGAAAGGTAAGTTTTGAGGCTAGGATGAGGAGGAGAATTTACTTCTCCTACAACATAAAGAGGATTCTGTGCTTTAAGAAAAGTTCATGCATTGATTTATTAAGAAAAAATTACTTTATTGTCGTTAGGTTGAGTTTTAGATAAAAGTTTATGTATGTGTTACTTATTTTTATTTTAAGTGAAAAATGTTACTGAAACTAATTATTATCTAAGTGTGAAAATGAAAAACTCGATTATTTTCGGCTTTGATAAATTTCACAAGAGGTTATTTTAGAACTTGCTTAATTGACTTGTAATAAAATTTCCAGGCTTAGTCAAACTATCTGAAAAACATAACAAGAAGCAAACTTAGGTTATCAAAAGAATCAGTCTACAAGTACATAAAATTTGTACAAAAACTTGAAATGGACAACACAAATTCAAATATGGAAAAAAAACACACATACAATTGCACATGATACTGTCATTGTACAAATTCTGTGAGTTATTCCATGTGCTTAACTCTTATCACAAAAACATAAAAAAGGAGCTGATTAGGGCAAATCATGTGTTGTCATTAGGAGGGCCAACATTCATTAGTACAGCCTATAGGTACTGATCCCCACACTGTCCTTGCAACAATTAAACACCCCCTATGGTCTCTCCTTTGACCTAACCACCCCACCCAAAAGTCCCTCTCTAAAAACTTAGAAAATTTCACCACTTGCTCCAACCAGTTTCTCTTTTAGCAAGTTGGTTGTAAACCTTTCATTATGGCACAATCAGTCTCAAACACTATCCAAATATAAATTAAATTGTCACATTGTCATCTTATATCTTATTTTATGAAACTATGTTTTGTTTCACAACTTAAGATGCTTAGAAATTTGAACTATGACATTCTTTTATGAGGGTAAGTCCATAGTTAAACGAAGATTTAGCTAGTTTCAAAAATAATAGTAAAACGTTGAGAACCAACTTATTACCAATACGATACGTTAAGGATGGATAATGCAATTTGCCCCTAAAACTTTGATAAATACCCCTTCACACACCCCTCAATCCTCATCTCCACCTCCATTCCATTTCCATTCAAACTCATTTATCCATTTCTTGCCATAAAACTCAAAAAATGGCAATTAGAAAACCAAACAAACTGTCACAAGCAGCAGTTTTGAAGCAAATCCTCAAAAGATGTTCAAGTTTAGGCAAGAAAAATGGGTATGACGAAAATGACCTTCCAATTGATGTCCCTAAAGGACATTTTGCTGTCTATGTTGGAGAATATAGGAGCAGATATATTGTTCCTATTTCATTTTTGACTCATCCTGAGTTTCAGTGTCTTCTTCAACGTGCAGAAGAAGAATTTGGATTTGATCATGATATGGGACTCACTATCCCTTGTGAAGAAGTCGTTTTTCGATCTCTAACGTCGATGATCAGATAATTCGGGCTATATTTTTCATAGTCGGTCTCAAGACCCGGCTATATAACTCGGGTTGTGATAGGTTGACGGTCAATCAGTGTGAAAATTTTGTCAAATCTTATGACATGACTCGTAATGCACATTTGTTGTTTGGAGAAAGATGATCAAGATGAAGCTGCCGAATTAATGTTGTCTGCTTCTCTTTTTTTAACATCTTTCTTCATAGAAGTTTGGTCTATATTTTTTTATTTTTAGAAAATTCTCAATATTTTCTAACTATTTGGGTGTTCCCTAACCCCAAGAAAACCCATGAATATTTTCTGGGTTAAATTTGTAAAAAGTTTTGAATTTTTTTTTCTCAGATTTGTTTTCCTACATCCTGAGAGAAATTTGTTGTTTAAGGAAAGACTCTAAATTATGTCCAATGATTGTATTATTGAATGTTGAATAATACTTTCCTATCCGTTCATGTTTGGTAAAGTTTGATCACATATTATTAAATGTTATCCATTATCACGTAACAAACTTATCAAGAACTTTGTATTCGTTAAAAGATGTATAATAGACAATAAATATAGACAACATTACTCATCGAATTGAATTAAGCGTTGTCTCGTGAATTTTACCATTCTAAAGTCGAAGGCATAACGAATAGAAGTCGACTACATGTCATATAAAAATTATTTTACATGCACAGATACAAAGATCTATGTCACTAAGTCAACCTAGGTATGATAATTAAATTATATTAGAGTGTTTA